ATTTAGTTTTCTCGTTTTGATTTAACACATTATTCATATTTAGTTAAAATTTTATTTATTATCTTCATGATTTTAACACCTATACTTCTATTAAATATGTTAATTGCTTCTATGGGTAATACATATCAACGTATTATTACAGTTAGTGAAAGAGAACGTACTCGACAAGTTAGATTAATAAAATATGTGTCTGTTCTCTAAATAAATATTTTATATTCCTTTAGTGGGCTCAACTTGTCTTAACAATTGAAAGATCATGTTCACCAAAAGAACGATTTGCTTATCAAGGTGTATATGCTATTGGTGCTGATGATAAACGAGATTTAATGGTTATTAAACGTGCTGCCAAAAGTAAAGCAGCTCAACGTAAAGGAGCAATTAGTAATTGGAAAGTAAATAGAAGAATTTTTTCTTAATTTAAAATTAATTTCTTTTCTCGTAAATAGCGAGTTGGTAAACTTGTTCTATTTCTATTAAAAGAACAACAAACAACAGCTGAACATGTTCGTCTTCGTCGTGTATCTCATCAATCCGTTGTTCTTAAACCTAAAGCACAATTTGATCATATGCTTGAAACTCTTGCATGGGAACGTGATATTGATTTATCCGGACCAAATCAAAATCTTAATTTAGCTTCAACACAAAATACAATCGATTTAAATTCAATTGATTATCATGCACCACCACCACAATTTGTTAGCGATGAATATCCAACACCATCATCTGTTCCACAACAATTATTTGGCGATCGTAAACCAGTATGGCGTTCGGAATTATCTGAATTACGTTCTCGACCATCATTTATTGATTTTGAAGATTTAGAAATCTTTCGAAATAAACGACCATTAACAACAGCACGACAACCAATTCGAAGAATTTCAATGATGCCTGTTGATGCTGATGGTTATAAAGATTTACTTTTAGATTTTGATAATAAAAATAAACAATCAAAAGCATATATGTCACGTGGTACATCAAATATAAGTATTAAATCAAAAATTAGTGAAACAACAATGTGTTAATTTTATTAGATAATATACATATGTATTTAAAAGAGATTAAAATTCTATTTTTTTGTTGACACGAATTGTTCATTGATTTTAAAACCTTGTACATAACCTGTAGATATAATTTCATCTGTACGACCCTCTTTGCCTTTCCCATGACCATCTTCATCGAAACGTTCTTTATGTGTACCTCTAAAAAAAAATTTTTTTTTGCACAATTAATAGAATAAATCGTATTTTTGATATTTACGTATATTGTGTTGTATTAGTCATTCGATCAGTTATATCTTTGTTTGCGATTTCCGTAACATGATTAAGACGAGGACCTTGATTTGCATTAATTTTAGCTAAAATTTCATCATAATTAACACTTTTCGATTCAGCAATACGATCAATTAATGCTTTAAAACCTTTGATTTCAAATGTTTTTCTAAAATCGAATAAGAAAAAACTAAACAAAACACGACAAAAATCTATTATTGTTCTTACGTTCCTTTTGGATAATGAATTGAACTAGATTCATTAGAATTTATTGTTAATTTTCCAAGTACACGTGCTATATCATTATCCAATAATTGTGATGTATATTTTGTATCAATTAATGAACAATCTTTCATCATTTTTTGAATACCTGCTGAACCAATTCGAATACAATTATGATCGGCTAATTGCGCTTGAGTTTTGCCAAATTTAGAATATTTATCAAATGCTTTCTGTAAACCTGATGACATTATATATTACTTAGAAGAAATGAAGAGCAAGTGAATATGCGACACACTACTTATAGGAGTGAAATAGACTTTTCTTTTTCTTCTTCTGTCTGACACAATTCCAACGAGGAAAAAAAAATGATCACATATATTTGTCATGATCCGAGTTCAAGTTATTTCTTTCTATTATTCCCCATCTGTTATGACCTTTCATGGAACATCAGGAAAAGAGAGAAGGGGAAAAGGAAAAAGAATATATGTAGAATTAGTTGAACAACTAACATGTAAAGTTCATATTACTAAATTAACTCTCGCGAGACAAGAAGAAATCGATCTGATTTTTTTCTCTCTAATGGAATTACAACTGCTATTATATTAAAAGACTAAACGAAAAAAATTTTTTTTTCTTATTTATTCACACGAGACTTAATTAAGATATTAAAATAAAGTAATTGTTTGTATAGACAAGATAAATATAATACTTACATGAAATTTTAATGATGAATTTATAGACATCTTTATACGAGTGTTTTATATGTAAAGAAAATCTATCTTATACATTTCTTCGGATGAAATTGTTTTAATGCATAAAAAATTTTGTATATTGAACATGTCGGATTTGTGATCCTCTAAATATGGGAGTATGCAAGGCTGTTTTATAAAAGCTTAGATAAATCTGATGAATGCAATAATGTTTATATGATAATTCGGTCAAGCTACAAAACATAAATGAAATTTGTTATACATATTTATATAGTACAAAACTAGCGATAAGATCTTAGAATTCAATACCTTGTATAAATCTTGAAAAAGTCACAATCCTGCCGAAAACGGTTATTTGTGTACTCAAAAAGTGAGTACACTACTAGAATCGGTCAGTGTGTCCGGCCGTTTACACGATAACTTTCGGAAGGAGAGGCAGATTTTTATGAAACTTTCTACACAATTCAGTCTCATCAAGATCTTGGTCGAGTTCGAAGATGAGCCTAATTAGCCGGGCCACTCCCCAGTTATTTCAAATATACTGATATCTCCCTATGATATCCATATATACTTTTTGCAGTACATATAACTCTCGGATAAAATGCGAAGTTTCCACATTTATTGTATAATAAACATAGACGATTTTCTTTGTTGAAAGCTTTTATTTATAATATCGTCTTCAGTGAGATGATCGATTACAATGTGTTAATCGTATTATAGTATAATTTATACAATCAATATGTAAAATGTTTATCTCATGAGAATACAATCAACGACAGAAGTTTAAGTGAATTTCGGTTTTTGTCCACTTAAAATGGTGATAAATTAAATGAGAGATTTCTGACTGTTTCAAAAGATTGAAATAAATAAGAAGTATCCTAATTGTTGGAGCCTTTCAAGTTCTATTCATTCAAAAATCTGAGTTCAGTAAATACTATACCAAAGGTTAAAAACTCAAATTTCTTAGTTAAGATATGCAATATTTTAAATGATTCAAACAGTCAGAGATCTCTCATTTAACATATCATAAAGTCAGTTCCTTCCTTCACTATTTAGATCGAATAGTTTATCTCTTTATATAAAAGAGAAATTCATAACATCATTGTATTTCTATATAAGATGAACAAGACAATGAAATAATATCTTCTTTCATCAACATCGAATGACAAAATACAGAT